CATTGATCAAGTAGTTGAGGTGGTTTGCAGTTCGCATGCGTGAGAAGGAATTCAGGGTTTGAATCCCCTTGGCTATATAAGGCTTTTTAATGAAGCAGTGGGTTCACTACTGGGCTTTGATTAGTTTTTAATAATAGGTGGATTATTAAAATTTTGGGCCTTCATAATTTACGGGCCTTGTGCGGTTGGGCTGCTGGCACTTGGCCTGGGACGGCCCTGCCCTTATATTTATTATTAATTATTATCCGCCAGTTCTACCATTCTAAGGATTGTGTATTTAAGTTAGGTAATTCACCTTAAAATACCTTTTCTTGGATCTATATAGCTTCTAAGCTCAACACGTTTCCCTCCAATTTTATTTTTGTTGGTATTGGCGCCCAATTCCCATAAGCCCAACTCATTTGGAGTACCCGGCCCATGCCTTTATTTTTCCGTTCGCACCACGCTGATTACTTCGGTACTGCTCGATTCCTTTCCTTCTTGCTGGTGCGATACGGTTGATAGCTTTCCTTCTTGGACGATTACCATGTATGGACATTTCGAGCTTAGCCTATTTATTCCTTCCTTGTGGTCTGCGATTGAGAGTTGGCCGAACCCTTCTTTCTCACCCTAATTTCCGTTTGTGCTCCTCCTGTGGGGCTTTACTCGAACCCATTTCGAGTAGCATGAGCGGACACACTGCAGTACGAGTCTACATTGTTGCAGGGTTAGCAAACATGAGTGCTTATATATGGCGTTTTTGTTCTTTGTCTCACCCTAGTGTAGTATTGAACGCTATGATTGTAATGCTTCTACTTTTAGTTGTTATGTTTCTTGTTAAGATCTGATTATCAATAAAATGGTTATTTGATTTTTTAAAAAAATCTTGTCAAAGGAGTTATAACTTGGGAGTTATTTCATGTTTATTATTGGTCAGCCGCATGCTCAATCCTATTTTTTAATTACAGTTAAGTGAACAATAGCTATATCTCTTTGGCCATGGTTTTATTTTTCCTATTAGTATTTCAGAATTATAAAGAAGTTGGTGCATGGGCAATGACTATTTATTTATCTACTCTGTATCTTTTTATGGATCCGGGGTGTCTGCCTTACTTCAGAGTAAGGCACTCTGCCCGGCTTCTCTACGTCGTCCGATCAATATTTCGATGGTTGAAGATTTCGAAGTCCGAATCTCGAGGCGTGACCTTCCCCATCCGACGGCTCCCATGCGACAAGGTACTCTGCCGCATGGCACTGCCGTACGGCAGAGGATCCCCATCCCTTTTTTATAATACAAGAATATCCCAAACAATATAGCCCGACCACCCGCCTAGGTCAAATCTAGAGTCAAGCTATTCCACTTCGTAAGAGAAAGTGGGCTCAAAATTGCATCAAAACACTATTTATAGCAGATGCAGAAGGTCAACCTCATGTGGTAAATCAATTCTCAACTATGAATCTAATGGGAGAGAACTACTAATTCCGTTTAGGGGTTAGCAAAGTATCCAGTTTGCTCATGAAACAAACAAAAAAAAATCTCTATAAAGTATGTTTAAAGCGCTAATGAGATTATTCGTGACCCCCGAACTAAATTGATGGAGTATATGGCCCAGGAATCCCCGGCCCATAGACTCCTACTTCTCCCACAAAGGCCCGTTAAGCCCTAGGAGCATCCGAGGCCCAAATACGGTGGCCCAGGTTCAAGGAAGCCCGAGATACACACGGGGGGTGCCTTCGGCCACCTTGGCCGAAGGCTCCAGAACTCACAGCATGAACTTTTTGGCATACAAAGTTACTGGGAGAAAACGGCGGAAAACAGGACCCTTCGGCACTGTTGAGCCCTCGGCATCAGAAAAGCCTTCGGCTACATAGGGGTCCTCGGCCACATGAAGCCCTCGGCTACGTGAGGAGCCTTCGGCCAAACAGGCTCAATCATCGAAGATTCCCTTTGGGGACAGCCAACCACCGCATTTAATACGACGTCACATCCACCCACCGCATTCAATGCGGTGAACATGCCACTGCCAGTGCCACCCGGTTGATGTGACCCCTCGGCCGTTGGATTGTTGACACGTGTACTCTCATCGCATTTATTGCTGCTATAATAGAAGCCCTTATTCTCCTTGTAAACCACGCTGAGTTCATTTAATATATGGGTGTATTAAACTGTCGTTTGAGTTTACAAGGAGAACAAGGGTTTACGCTGAGTTCATTTAATATATGGGAGAATAAGGGCTTCTATTAATGGGGGCACTTGTTATCAAGGAGTTAAATGAGAAGGAAATGGGTGTATTTATAGGTATTTTGAGGTGGCTGACTCTGATACCCGACCGGTTATCCTTAAACTGCCTGAACGGTGCTGAAGACATATCCAACCGGACAGGGTTTTATTGTACCAACCCGACCGGGTTGATCGAGTATCAAATCGGATATTTTCCACGTTCTCTTGATCTTCGACACGTTCTCGTGTTCTTGTCAACTCAACCCGACCGGGTTTCGGCGTGTAGCTTCCTTTTGGCTTCATATGTCACTTCCCACCCGACTGGGTTATGTTCCAACCCGACCGGGTTTGTTATCAGAATTTATTTCCATCTTTCATCTTGCCTTCCTTTGGTACCTATAATACTCCCTTGCATCCCTTATGGTACTTACAACAAAATACACACTAAAAATACAAATTACAACCTACAAAATAAATCTAGAGAGTACATCACAAACTAATTAAACAATTAAAAACATGAATCAAACAATACTAAAATAACAAATTTATGCACTAGGAAATAGTGCATATCAAGTAGAGAGGAGCAATCGTTTGCCATACAATGAACACCATTTGTACATGTTGATGAATACATGGCTAAGGATCTAGTATTATATGTTCAATAAAAAAATATTGAAGCTCTAGCTAATACCATAAAGATGTAAAAAGTCATAATATGTTTGTGTACAAAGTCATTTTTGTGTACATTAGAGTAGACCTATTATGCATATAAATCAAAATATTTGTGAATGGCCTGATTTTGCGCCACTATGTATTTTTGAAAAATTACCAATTTCAAAATCTCATCTGAGAATCACATAATAAAAAGTACTAGGAGATTAATTAGATCAAGTCTTCGCAAGTATTAAAAGATTAATTGATGAGTGTTAAAAGATTAATAGGTTCTCAACATCATATATATTACTCTCTATGACTTAATTATGAGTATGTTGATGAGTAGAACTTAGAATGATCCTAAAGTACATACACTCTTCTTATAAAATAGGCACATGAGAGCATCATATTATTTAATAAATCATGTCACTTTAACGGTGATCACTATAGTCATACGGAGTATCACTTATTTTTAAGTTTGTATTTATAACATTTTCTTGAACTTAAAAATATGCTATATGTATTGTTTACACTCTCCAAAACGCAAAAAGAGTTTTCAAAAGTTACGTTCTTAAGAAATTGTTTGAGCAATTTAAATTTATTTTTTTGAGCAAATATTAATCTCGTTAGGTGGAGATCATCACATGCTAATTAATAAGATAAACTAATAATCCCTCTGTTTCAATAATTTGGATGACGAAGTTTGACTTCATAAAGATTAAGAAAAAAATAGAGTTAATAACTCCAAATAGAACTAAACTAACTTCTAAATGCACAAATAGGACTATGTTAGGGGTGTTTGGATCTAATTCTCAAAACTGATTCTGCTTCTTCAGAGAGCAGAAGCAGAAGTTGGAGTGTTTGGGTGAAATTCCAGAAGCACTTCTAGTGCTCTAATTTACTCTCAGAATCAGATTTTTTAGAAGTTGGGGGGTACTAGCTTCTGAAAACTGATTCTGATTCTACTTCTGCTTTAAAAAAGAAGCAGAAGCAGAATCAGTTCCAAACACTCCCTTAGTTATCTTCCCAAAATAGGACTAAAGTATATCCTATTTACCTATTATACCCTTACCATAACCTAATAGGATAATCATATTTTAATTTGTAATAAACAAAAAAAAAATAATAAAAAATAATTTAACTCGTACAAAAAATCGTAAAAACTATTAAAAAACGTAAATTATTTTTAAAAAATACTAAAATAATAAAAAATAAAAAATAAGTTTTTTAAAATAAATAAAAAATAGATAAAACACCTTTAAAAATATAAAAAATATGGAGGGCTCTCCCACAGTCTCGGCTACTGCCCAGCATAGTTACATCATATCTGCTAAAAATGCCATGTTGTGTCAAAATTACCATTTTTATCTGAAAATGCCATAAAATGACATTTTTACTCTTTGAAAATGTCAAAACTTTCCTGAAAACTGCCATCAATATGGCATTTTGGACAAACCTTGGATTTTTTGTGGTGATCAGAGATGGAGGTGTTGGGAGGTTGCTAAGGTGGCAGCATAGGCCCACATATTTTTTTGATTTTTCATTTTTTATTTATTTTATTTTGACTTTTTTTAGTTTTTTATTTTTTTCGTTTTTTATTTTTTTATTTTAAATTAATATTTATTTTGTGTTTTTATTTTTATTTTTTATATTTTTATTATAAATAAAATTACGTTATTACTTTTATATTTTATTTATAAATGAAATATGAATTGTATCAAAACAAAGCAAGGGTAGAATTGGAAAGCTAGTTCTATTTATGGAATTTTGAAATTATGGTCCCGTTTGAAAATTAAAGTTTGATTTAGTCCCTTTTGAGGAATTCTCCTAAAAATTTACTGAGAGTAAATTTCACTGTAAAATATACTATTTTGGCATTGTTTGACACTGTTTTGCACTGTTTGCACTGTTTTGATATTAGATTTGTTTACCAAATAAGGAAATAAGAAAGTGTGACACATTTTGAAACATCCAAAAAAGTAAAGTTTGTTAAAGAATTTGAAACGTGGGCGACACACTTTTTAAGAAAAGTTGGTCTATTTGATTAATATTTAATATTGAATTTATAAACTAAGAATAAAGTTAAAAAAAAATCATATCACGTAAATTGGTCAAATTAGGTATGAGTACGTTCTTTTTTAGCTAAGAATCAATGAAAAAATCTCTGTATAGTTGCATCTCTTCACACGTATTAAAGGACATGATTTGTGATATTGGAGACAGCAGAGAAAACGTTATCGGCCTGCCCGGCGTTAACAGTCGGCCTCCACTCTACACAGCTGTAATCTATCTGTATATTTTTATAATTACGGAAGCTCTACTCTGATCCGTATTATTCATTCAATCAATTCTTCAACTTTAATTTATATTCTCCGTTTCTATCTTTGTGAGCTTGAGCTACCGAGTTGGAAAAATACAATCTTAAATCCCGCGTTCATACTTGATGTGCTTACACACACATTGAGATCAATTAGCTCAGATTGAAGAAGCTCTAGCTAGCAACAATGGATTTAAGAAACGGTTGCTTTCTTTCCATTTTCACTGTGATTTGTTGTCATTCTCTATTCGCAGGCTGTTCTTCTTCCAGTTTTATCTCAGGTGTGCATATATTTACAGAACACTAGGTTTTATTAAAGTTTTTCCTGTATTTTTTTGGGAATTTTTTTGTGGGATTGTAGACCTTGTTTTATTCGGGGATTTCGTAGATATGAGGATGGAATAATTAAATTTATTTTGAGTAATTTGTGGAAATAACAGTACTGTAGTAAATTATCCCCAAACCAAACAGGCTCATAGACATAGTGAACTTTGATCTGCTGTAGTTTCATTTGCCATCTATTTACCTTCTTTGATCTAATACACTTTTCCTTTTCTTGTGATTGACGACTTCTCAAGATTTCAATTACTTCATCATAATTGGATATGTTTTTATGGTGTAGATGGTGTTTTTGTCTCTCAATCTTCCACGGGGAGGCACCTGCTTCAGAATAAAAAAGGTGCTATTTCCAGAACCTTTCAATTTATGATATCCTGACCGACCATTATGAAGCTCACTTTGTTCTGTATTATTTTTGCATAAACTACATGATTTTTGGGGTATGTTTAGAATTAAAACTGTTTATCATGATTTATTGGCTTGTTTTCCCCCATGGTTTATGCATATTATAATAGAACTACACAATTATAGATGTGTTATCTTCCTGATGGCTTATTGTAACCGGGTATAGAGATACAACAAAACAACAACATCCAAGCCTTAATCCCAAAAGATTTTGGGGTCGGCTAATGATAGAGATAAGTAATGTAAATCCTAGAGAAAGAAAGTAGAGAGTATAAATGTCATTTCACTATTGTAATGATGGCCGAGAACTGACAATTCTTTCCACAATCCGGAGAGGTTATTTATCATAGTAGGAAAATCTTGTACAGTAAGTTATATCAAGCCTATGGAAAGAATATACATGTCTTTGATTATCTAGATGCTTGCATCTAGATAATCCAAGCCCTGGTTTCTTTACTAGACTATATACGCCTTCAATGTTTAAGTTGATCATCCAGGTCCATTTCCTTCATTTGATCCTTTGGGCCCAGAGGAGGTAATACACTCCATCTCTTCCAATATTTTTGGGGCTTTTGGTGGATTTCTCAAAGTGAGAATCATATCACTATTCATCTTTCATTACTTACTCTTGAGCATCAGTTTAATCCTCATTCCATTCCTCTTAAACTTTCCACCCTTGGTCATCTTATTGTCACAACAATATCACTATTCATCTTTCATTACTTACTCTTGAGCATCAGTTTGATCCTCACTCCATTCCTCTTAAACTTTCCACCCTTGGTCATCTTATTGTCACAACATAGTACGTCTCTATCACTCAATCATGGGTCATCCGGAAACAGTTTCTTTGTGCTTTAGTACTAGGTTAGAGTGCGTACATCTGACCCCCCCTTACCCCCCTTGTAGGTGGGAGCCATTGCGGCACTTGGGTGATGTTGTTGGTTAAGTGATTGGTTCACCATATTAAAGTTTTGAAAACTGGTGTGACTGAGCTCCAAGCTTTAGCATTTTTGGTTCCCTGCTACATGCAGCGGTCGCCCACTAAAGATTTCACTGGAAAAATATTATGACCGTTGTTGCGCCATAAACATAATCTACAATCATGGTAGTCAAAATCGCGAGTCAGATCGTAGGATCGTCCGATTATACGATCTAAAACCAGACTGACGATCTCGTTTGTACTAAGAATCGTAGATTAAGGAGAATCGGTAGAATCGCCGAGTAGGAGCGCTCACTCATAGGAACGTACAGAATCGGCGAGTCGTTTGCGAAGGTGGAAGGAAAAAAACAGACAATGACTGAAGCATCATCACCTTCGATTTGCTTGTTCTGCTACTCCCTTCGAAGCAGAATCACCGACGACTTCCATTCTGAGGCCCGACTGAGTCGAAGCCTCCACCTCTACGTAGAAGACTCGAAGCCGACTTCATCTCCCGATTCCAAAAGTGCGCTCAGCTAATTTGTTTTTTAGCTTGTACTATCGTACTCCGTATATGTTATAATGTTATATACTCGTATTAATTATGTTATACGATAGTATATTAATATTGATACTTTAATTTATTTACTACTCCGTAGCATTTTATTAGTAAATCCTTTCAAAAAACATTTTATTAGTAAATAATTACGCATGATGCTTTGTGTGTCTACTGTAAATTAATTGATTACTTTAAATTTAATAAAGTGGATTGTTTGTGTGCTTTCTGTAAATTAATTTATTAGATGTTAATTTAACAAATTATTGATGCTTTAATTACTTTATAACATACGGAGTATTGTAAGTTAATTTTTAGATGTTTAATTATATAATTATGAGTCAACTCTTTTTGTTTCAAGTCTTTAAGTACCCAAAATATTTGATATTATATTATAAACATCTCCTTTGATCATTATTTATCAATTATATTTATTTTCTAACTATATGTATACATATTACACATACACACACACATATATATATGCATATGTATATGTAAGTATATATTTTGTAGGATCTTACGATCCGAGTCACGATCCTACGATTTACGATCCTTATTCCAATATCCGATCCTACGTAGGATCTCGAGTTTGACTACCTTGGCTACAATGTTCTGCCACAGTGCCACAGTGCCACTGAAGGTTGACTAGTTCTACTGAAGGTTGACTAGTTCCAACTGCTACATGGCTTTATCAAATCTGCCACCAGAGGAATATGTTATTATGTGATATTTGGATATGTATATTGTGGGAATACGATTAGTCTTCTATTTGTGGTAGTACCGCATGTAGTTGAGTTATTATTGATAATATTGCAATAATGTTTCTTTTCTTTTTTCTTTTACTAGCATGTTGCACATGTGTACATTGAATGCAAAGTTCTGATTGTTTTGAAAAACGATGGTCGAGAAAAGCTCTGGATATATTATACTTCATGGTCACTAACTCAATATTTTACCTACTCTGAAATTTGCAGCATGCCCAGTTAATTTTGAGTTTCAGAATTACACTGTGATCACCAGCCAATGCAAAGGACCAAAATACCCGCCCAAGCTCTGTTGTGGTGCATTTGTACAATTTGCATGTCCTTATGCCGACCAGTTAAATGACTTGACAAATGAGTGTGCATCTGCCATGTTTAGCTATATCAACATCAATGGCAAGTACCCACCTGGTCTCTTTGCCAATGAGTGTAAAGGAGATAAGAATGGCCTCGAATGCCCCGCACAACCTCCATCAGATTCACATGACCACAGTGGCACTCTTTTCAATAGTAAACCATCTTGCATAATAGTGCTTCTTGTGGCATTTCCAATTCTATTAGCATGGTTTATCTGAAGCTTTATCTTTTAGTAAAATCTTTAAGGCAACGTGTGTGTATTCAACTCAATTCAACAATGTGCATGGTATACATGTGAAATGAGGAGAGATGGTCACTCCAAAAGGAAGAGTAAAAGCAATTTTTCTCTTTTCCTTTCTACAATTTTCTATGTTTTTATAACATTTTTTCTACAATGTCAAGCACAATTTGTTGTTAAATTGTGGAGAAAAGTTACCTAAGAAGGTAGAAAATGATGGAAAGCAAGAGAAATTTTATCTGACTCATTTTTATAAATTTATCTCTCTTGTCACATGTAGGTGCATATTGTTGCACTAGAGGTGTTCTAAGGCATGGAGTAAAAATCCTTGAGAGATTTATTTCGAGCTCATTGATTAGTAGGCTACATTTGGTTTCATTGTAATGTAATGGATCACGTAATTAAATACAAAATGTAATGTAATTGGATATTGCTATGTTTGATTATTTAAGTAACGTAACCCTCCATTTTAATTAAAGATATTCTTCTTATCTGGTTGTTCCCATAAAAGGCTACATTCCTTAACTACTGATTAATAAAAGTCATTATTTCCCAAGTTCTATTGTTTTGTATAGTTTTTACTTGGACTGTACTTTGACTCGGGTCAGATTAGACCAAACCGGATTTGGATAATTATAAAAATACAAAGTGTGCAGACATTACCAGATCAAACCAGATCAGCAAATTAAAGTTCAAGTAAAAACATTCTTAATCTGTCTATTTCTTATGGGAACTTTACTGTGAGATTCATGTACTATTAAGTAATTGTCATAACAATTGGATTTTGTTCTTATGAATCAACTAATTGACTTCATATATTTTAATCACATAAATTTGACAACTCCCTTCAATTTTGAAAATTGTAAACCCGTAGGCCAGAGCTGTAAAGCTGTATTTAACTTTCTATGGACACAAATTGGGGCTCAAACAAATAATTTTAATTTTACATTAGTTACATACTTAGTATCAAGGCCGGTCTTGAAACATTATGGGCTGTGCAATGTAAATATAGGACACTAGAGGATATAGATATTATACAAATGCAAAGTTTCATCAAGCAATGCAAAATTCAATAAATCGATATATAAGTTTGTCAATGAAAATACGGAGTATATAATAGGGAGTAATTAATAGTCGAAATAGACTTTTATAAATTAAAATTTATAGTTAACAATATAATATTTCTAATCACAATTATAAATTGCACATATACATAATGACCGAAAAGTTTCCATAACTTGTTCTTGAAGTGCATTGTCTTTTAAATTTTCATTTTAAACACTCCGTATACAATAAAATAAATGGGGAAAAGGGCAAATAAGCCCTCGAACTAACCAAAAAAGTGCAAATAAGCTGTTATATCAAAGGCTCTGTCCGGCCTTCGTCATTTGGGGAGGTTCCCGGTGGAATTTTTTTGATGAACTTGTTTGAGCATCTTCTTCATTAAATCTAGTTTAGTCATACCAAACTTCAGCTAAAAATTCAACTGGGAAGGCAGTCAAATGATTTTCTGAAATATACTGCGTTGTTTGACTGCGCAGTTATCTTCAAAAATTCATTTAACTACCTTCCCGATTGAATAATTAGCTGAAATCTGGTATGACTAAATTAGACTTAATGAAGAAGATCAAAAAAATTCATCAAAAAAAATCCACCGGGAACCTCCCCAAATGGCGATGGCCGGATAGAACCTCTTATATAAGGACTTATTTGCACTTTTTGGTTAGTTCGAGGGCTTATTTGCCCCTTTTCCCAAATAAATGTATGGGCTCTACGCAAATTACCATCCAGGCCAGCCCTGGATCAAACTTACAAAGATGCCATTTTGAAATTTGAATAATTGATTTCGTTACGAGTATTATTTATGTCAAAAGGGTTCAAATGGATGATAAAAAAGTTAGATACAATCAAGTGTACAACTATATATTGTTTTGAATTAGATATTTTTGTAAATAAGGACAGCCCCTTTAAAATGTAGTTGTAGTATTTATAATAGCAATAGCTCTTAATTTTATCGTTTCAATGACAAAAAAAAGGTTTCAAAATGAATAATTCTAAACTTAGATATGATGAAGTCTACAATTGGGTCATTTGGGTACCGAGTCATATTTTATAAAACCAAACTGAGGAATAGGGGTGGCCTCGGGCCGGGCCAACCGGCCCGGATGGGTACTGTTTGTACCCGGCCCAGCCCGGGAACCGGTCTGGGTATCGGTTCGGGCCTATCCGACCCGGTCGTATAGCGGTCCGGGCTCGGGCCCTGTAAATCATGAACTGGCCGGGCTGGGCCCGGTCCGGGCCATAACGACTAGAATTTAAAAAAAAAAATAATAAATGGCCTCCTAGACGTTGGGACTATTCCCAAACAGCTCTATAGCCATTGGAGGCCTAGGAGGGGGGGGGGGGGTCCGGGGGGTTTTGGGGGTGGGGTTACCAAAAAATCCTATTTATACTCATATTTTCTATACATTTTTTACACCATCTTCATAGAATCCTACTCTCTAATTCTCTAATTCACTCATACTCAATAACTCAAATATTCAATATTCTCCATCTTCATCTTCTCCAATTCTCTCTACACATATATATTATTTATATAATTATTATATCTACTTATATATTAATTATCTACTTATATACATATATTATATTACTAATATTTATTATCTACTTAATATATACTTATTATCTTCTTAATATTTACTTTGATATCTACTTATTATCTATACTTATTGTTATTTACTGATATATATCTACTTATATATTACTTATCTACTTATATATATACATATATTATATTACTAATATTTATTATCTACTTAATATATACTTATTATCTTCTTAATATTTACTTTGATATCTACTTATCATCTATACTTATTGTTATTTACTTATATATATTAAAGTATTAAATATAAGTGTATTACTCATCTTATAGTAATATACTTATATATTATATACTATAAACATTATATTATATATTAGTTATACAATTATATTAGTTACACTTGAATTCATAGTAATTAAATTTATCCTACTTACTTATAAACTCACACTCCCAATTATTATTATACACACTCATTCATTTTTTCTATTACTTACATTTTTTATTAATTGTTACATTTATCATTAAAGTATAAAACTAGTTAATTGTTACATTTTTCATTTCCCTATTAGTTAATTTGTTAATTGTTACATTTCTCATTAAAGTATAAAACTAGTTAATTGTTACATTTGTCATTATAGTATTAGTTAATAAATACTTGTCTTGTTTAATTTTTTAAGATTTAAAGTAGTTATTTGTTACATTTCTCATTATCCTTTAAGTTAATTAATATTTAATACTTGTTGTGTTTAATACTTTAATACTCAAAGTATAAAACTAGTTAATTGTTACATTTCTCATTATCCTATAAGTTAATTAATATTTAATACTTGTTGTGTTTAATACTTTAATACTCAAAGTATTAAAACTAGTTAATTGCTACATTTCTCATTATCCTATTAATTAATTAAAATTTAATACTTGTTGCATTTAATACTTTAATACTTAAAGTATTAAAACTAGTTAATTGTGTAATTTCTCATTATCCTATTAGTTAATTAAAATTTAATACTTCTTTCGTTTAATACTTTAAACTTGTTCAAGATTTAAACTACTTCATTGGCTCATTGCTACGTTTTTCAATTATTAAAAAAAACTAGTTAATTGTTACATTTTAGTATATTAGTTGTTATTTTAATAAGCACACTTGTTATTTTAATAAACACACTCAAAGTATTCGAATGTCATTACTCCTATTTTAATAAATTAAATACACTTGTTATTTTATTAAAGTACTTGGAAATTTACTATGATTTTATTAGTTGCATTTTGTTACATTTTAAAGATGGTCCGTGGTAGACATTATGTAGATATGGGTAATCTCCAACGCAACCGAAGGAAGGAGATTGCGACAATTCATCCTAATTTACGCAAAGGCAAAGGTAAAGGGCGGGCCGGATCTTCTTCTCAAAGTGGAGATTATTTTGAAACGGATTACCAACGGCGAGATGGGGGTGCGATGTCCGATGAGCAACTACAAGACCTATTGGCGCAAAATGATGGCCGTTTTTTCCATCAACAAAACATCCCGGAGTCCATTGACGAAGAGGAGCACGAGGATGAGGATGCAGAGGAGGACGCGGGGGGCGATGGGACTCACGGCACCCCGGATAATGAGCAAGAGTTGGAGGACGAGGGTGGTTCATCCCTATTATAAGAAAATCTAAATCTCCTATTATAGAAAATAATTTTACAAAAAGGAAAGATAAAAAACCGAGAAATGGTACGCAAGTTGCAATCATTACAATAAGGAGTATAGCTTGGGAACTTCCGGCGGATACGGGAGCCTCACAAGGCATCTTAAGTCCGCGCACTCGGTGGAGTATGCGAAAATATCGAAAGACAAGGGGAAGCAAACTCAAATATCGAGGTTTGCAAATGACCAACCTTTTGGTAATTTCTCATACAATGATGCACAAAATTTGACTGGTATGGCTAACTTACTTGTTGAAGAAAATTTGCCTTATTTGTTTGCTGAAAGTCTTCCTCTTAAAGATTATGCACAAACTTGTTTAAATCCTCAATTTAGAGGTTATAGTCGCAAAACGGTTAAGAAAGAAATTATAAGGCTTTATCGTGCGGAAAAGGCAAGGTTACAAAATTTTTTTGCAAACTTTGATGGGCGTGTTACTATTTGTTCTGACATATGAGAGGATACTTATCATAATTTACATTATTTGGGTCTGACTGCACATTTTATTGATGATGATTGGAATATACATAAACGTGTTCTTGCTTTTCGTGAATTTAATGATTGTCACACCGCTGAACATATTTATATTTTGATTGAGCGTATTTTAATTGAGTATAATTTGATTGATAAGGTGTTTGCTATAGGTTTTGATAATGCTACTAATAATATTGCTACTGTACCTAGATTGCGTGAATTGTGTGGTTCTAATAATTTGATGGATAGATTTTTTCATCAACGATGTGCATGCCATGTTATAAATTTATGTGTGCAAGACGGTCTAAAAGCATTAGGAGATGCTATGGAGGTAGTCAAGGGGGGTATTAGACGTATTTGGGCTAATGGTCGACTTAAATTAAAATGGAAAAATTATTTGACTGAAAGAGGTGTGAAATATGTTGCTTTTTCTAAAGATTTGTCTATTCGTTGGAATAGTACTTATAAATTAATTAAAGTTTTTCTTAGATATAAAGAACATTTTCCTGCTTTTTTAAAATAATATGATAACTATATTTTAAACTCCGCTCACATCGACACTTGCGAAAAAATTTGTAATGTTTTGATATCTTTTAATAATGCAACTGAAAGTTTTAGTCATGTTTATAAACCTACCTCAAACCAATTTATTCGTGAAGTTGTTAATCTCGCCGGTGCTTTTAATGAATTTGAGAATGACGCTTACGCGAGTTATTTTTGTGGTTTTATGAAGGAAAAGTTTTTAAAATATTATGCACATATTCCGCATGTTTATGGTATATCATTTA